GTCTAACAACAATAATAGGTAACAGCAATCATAGTAGTAGTAGTCGCTTACATTACACATCGATTAATCCGTTTCGGCGCTCAGTTGAAAGAACATCACACGAGGACAAACACAAGTTATCCATGAGGACAAGAAATAGGATGCTATAATGAATACCATACATGTAAAAATGCACACCACACGTTAAACGAATAAAGGACTTAACTCTAAAGCGATTTCGATTGGAAGACCCGGTCAGGGCCAGTCTCCACGTGCATGACCAGAAATTGTGCGACCGCATGCATTCGCGTGCGGTGACCGTTCTTACTATGTAGTGTACTCGCTTAATAGCAAGGTTTCAGTTGTGAATAGTCCGTGAGGTTACACATACTCGTCGACATAGGTAACCATACAAAACGTGCTGGGTAAGATCGTAGCAGCTGAAATATTGCTTCAATGAACGTGCACATCCTCTTCTCTACTTTACGCGCAGTGAAGGCGTAAGGAATACCGTATTGCATATAGCAGGACAGTTGGCGATTTCCGCTTATATCAATGTTTTAATGTAGGGAACAACCCTCTGCGTAACTCATCTTAGCGTAGCCGACCTGAAATTGCTTAATTCGCGCATGACTTTGAGAAAAACGGTCGAGCGAACATAAGACGACTCTCCGGAGTTTGGCCGCATTACGTGATTACGGTGAGATTTTCGGCTTGGACCATCAGCGCGCTGCGAGTCGGCTCAGATGCAGCAGGCCGTTGAAACATCTGTCGACATTTAATTATCTTTCTCTTCAGAAAATATTGAGAATCTCTTAGGGTTTTAAGCTTAAATATAAAACAAGTTCAATAGATAACTGCATCAAATGAGTTTAATGAGCGAAACGAAAGCAATATCATAAGCTCAGGGTTTATGAGTATTCAATTGAATCAAAGTCTGGCGCCGCCTCGTTTGAGACCAAGTTTTCGGAGCTACACGGACTGAAATACTTAGCGCAAAACACTGAAATTGTTTTTCCTCGTTAGCCCCATAAAACCATGAAATACAAATGCAAAAGGTGCCCATACGTCCACTGTACCCCATCCTCATATGGGACTCGGACACGAGTGGTACAATAACTTAATCAATAAACATAAACAAATGTAATTTTGAGACGAAGGTACATATCTACTTCGGGGTTCGTAGCAAACCGTAAAAAAAGAGAAATCAAACAAAAAATGACAACATATATTCAAATCTAGAGAAAACGTCTCTACGACCAAGCTCGGACTTACTTCAGTATCTTACCGTACATTTCCATGTATTCATGTATTGGCCAAACACCCTAGCACGAGAAGCCGAAGTCAATGGAATAAACTTCGACAGAGTTAGGAAAATGCGTCGTTTTGTTACAGGGGGAACCATGATTTGAAACGACTAAATCCCGCGTTCGCTCTAAACAAGGGGCACTTCGTCCTTAGAAAGTCCCTAGTAAACAGTGCGACATTTGCTCTCATCTTCTCGATTGTGTACTGGAAATTAGCGTTCGTGGTCATGTTAGCCTGCAACGCGCGGCTACACCAGACATATTCTGCTTGCGCTCTCTCTCTAGCTACACATTATTGTTGGATAAGATAGCAGATGTTCTTTACCTTTACTTATGACTTAATCCGGAGCAGTGTGATAGCGTCCAAGCAGCAGCTGGGAACGCGGATACTCTTATATATGACGTCGTATCCGCAAGCATTTTTCCATTTGCTTCTTCATAACATTACGTAATATGCATTTTATTCGTTTATTGGATAATCTGGATCTCTTATTTGGAATAAAAAACATTAGTCCCCATAATTTAATTTTAATAATGTTTGTGTCCAATTCTAGCGATTGAGTAAATTCAATCCTCTCTTAAGGCTGTCCGAAACAGTTCTATTATAGTGCATTGCTATAATAATTTCACACATTCATTGGCTCGTTCTGAAACTTATCGTAGGCCAACGTTTGAATTCCGATCATTCGAAAGTGAACGCGGTAGGGCCAAGTTTAAGATATTCTTTGCTCTCTTACTGTATGATATCTGCATACTAATTATGATCAATTCGGGCGAATCCAGCACAATTCGTGCGCTGTTAGGCCGTATACCAAATCCATTTTCTTGGTTGGCCTCTGTATAGAACCGAAGCTCTAAAGCAGGGGTTGCTTAAGCTATTTATCCTGATTAACCCGATATAGTAAACCGGTTGCTAGTAATACCATTTCAAGTGGACAGGAAAAAATGAAGGTGTTTTTTGGCAAATATAAAAACGATTTTTAAGGTATGCTCAACAATGAACCTACACAATTGGAACAAGTAGCACATATAATAATAACTACATTTATGTTGAGTTAGCATATTTGTGACAACTAATCAAATACTGCTGCCAAATGCACAGCAAATTTCGGCGTTGTATATATGTGTGTAAGCTATGCCTGCACTCAAAAAATGTTATCGAAGGGATTTTCAAATAATTGATTTTGGTTTTATTGCATTTTAAGATGAACTTCAACAAGCTTACGCTCAACAAGCTCTAACACTGGCCTATCTCAAGGCTACGTGCTCCGAAGTATATTTTTATATTAAAAAAAAAACAATATGCCACAGCCAGTTAAATATGACAGTTCAATTAACCGCATGCTTTATGCAATAATAGATATTTATTAATATTTCAGGCCTAGTATTACACGCAACAAAATCCCTACGTAAATGACCATGTGCTTTCGTGACTCACATTGGCAAATATTTGGCTATCAAAATGATTACGGGAATGCTTCGCCTTAGTATACTGATGACTACCGGTCAGCGCGAACCGGTCTCGGAGAAGCTGGCACACGCCATTCATTACGAATCTTGTTCTTGTTGTCCACAAGGGCTCCTAGCAATAAATACGACCATTCATATCGGTGGTGAACGTAGTAGATACTAGTCGAATGTTGATCGACGCCTGATCCTTCGCCATTAATTAGATAGCAATTTTTCTCATCCATTTTGACAGCTGTGCAGTGTGATAACTGCCTCTGTGCGCGGAAAGCATTTAATCTTTGGACATCATCTAAATAAATACAATTATAGCATAGCTATACGCGAGCCGACCAGAAAGAATAGCTGCTTTTACACAGGTTTTTTTCTTCGTATTTTGCTTGATCTCTGAAGAATGACCCAACGCAGTAAGTTAATTGCAAGCTAAGCAACACGTCCAGGCGATCAAACACGTTATTGTACAGTCTCGCAAAGTCATTGATGAGCTAATAGAAACAACCAAGCTAAATAATTAGTGACAACGTTGATTGTTGTCACCTATTTTGTCATTTTCTTGCCAGCAGCTTCTTTCTCCAGCATTTCTCATTCGTGAAATTCGTTATAATTGTATTTAGATTAAATTTTCATTCAAAATCAATAATATCGATGTAGCTTTTTCTAATTCATTTCTTACGTCACTTATATGATAGAATAACACGTATTTACATGCTCTATAAGTCCAAATAATTAAGATAGCCTGGGATTATTTCGAACGAATCAGATTAAATGCGCCACAGTTGTTGCCACACAAACTCCTTATTCTACCGAGAAGCAAACAAATGCACATTATTTTTTCAGTCTTCAAAAAAAAATACGAGGCGTGAGGTTATTACTTTCATTAATAAAATGAGAGAGCCTATGCAGAGTAATACAATACAAATGGTTACTATGTTTATAGATTAGCTGGTAAGGTTTTTCACCATAATGACCATGCGTGTACGAGTACGAGTAACGTCCTCGAAATGAATGCCGCTAATATGATGTAATTACCAAGTTTCAAACTATTTCTTCGGTTATCCATTTCCACCCAATAACAAGGCCAAACCATTTGGATGACGGCGATACCTTCTAGTCCGAGTGTACTCTTCTTTCTGTTCAGTTGTTTTTCCTTTGTACACACTCTGGAAACACGGAGAAACATGAAGAACCATCTTCCAATATCGACCTCCTTTCTAATATGTCACCATTTGAAAGAGAATCACATTGTCATTATGATCACCGCAGAAAAGACAGCAGCTTTGAAACCAACTGGCAGAATTGTGATATCATAACATAAGCGTATCATTTAGGGCGTATGAAATAATATCAAGTGGTGTCGTGATTTACAAATCGTCCCGCCACCACAAGCATGCCTACACATATATCAAAAGCAATTTCGACCATAGATTTAACTTGAGCGTAATCCGCGATTGCCCATGGGCCGTACACTAGATGAGAATGAGGTGTCCTAAAAGGCTTCTTCACCCATATATTCCTACGTAAGCCGTTTTTGCTAATCTTACGCAAACACTTAATGAGTTGTTAGAGATTAGTTAGTAAGTGCGACATCTACCTTGAGTCAAACGTACTAATGCGCGCAATGGACGATAAGAAAGACGACTTGATTTTCATTAAGTATTTCGTCTGTTAAAATGAGTGTTAAAAAAATAATTACCCGATAATAATAATAATGTCCGTTTAGCATTAAACTATACGTCCGGATATGATCGTTATGATTGAGGCATTTAAAGGCCGCTAAGTAGAAGAAAGAAGACACCGAAGTAATTGATGGCTTCACTCAGTGGCGCTTGATCTATCCCGCAATAGTTTTGTGTATGTAAACACACGTACCTAATGTAAGATCGCACCCCACACAGCTGCGTAGACGAAGTAAACTGTGGTATATAATCGATGCTTTAGTGAAGGTGGTTAGCACTAAACTGACACACTACTTCATAATTTGTCGTCAACTATTACAGTAGCACGCACGAAGAATTTATTCGCCGTTCGACTAGCTATTTGTTGTAACCAGAATTTTAATACGAATAGTAATTATACACAATAAAGTGTAGTAGATCGAAGCAGCCTATAGACGCTTAACCAGCGTACGAGCTTCGTACCACCGTAACACTCTGTAGGCTAATTTTTTTCTATTTGTGTATCCAGTTTATCAACAGAATGCAATTAATAAAGACTTTTTTTTAATCAACAACTGTTATATTGGCTTACCAGTCAACTCCATGTACGACTCGAATCCTATCGGCTCTTCGTCAACTCAGCAGGCAATAAATTGAATGTTTCCCACTCGGCAGAAAAAGGTTTGTAGTTACATTTATCAACTTACAAAAAACCCGCCGAAACACATTTATCATTCCTAAATACAAAACTCACCAGCGCAGCACTAATATTAGTTTTCACTTGCCTTCTAATTACGAGCTTTTTTCAAACACTTTTTCAAGCTTCTGTTCTTCGCCGTCATTCCTTATTGTTCGTTGCAAACAGCTAAATGTATGCATGAGTCGTATCTTCCGCCAGTGCTTTATATGTATACAATGCTGGACTTATCGAATGGCGATACTAAAGGCAAATATAATTGGTGGCATCTGTTTGTATTTTTGTTAAGATTGCCAAGAAGGAGCACAGAAAAATTGCTCACGCCGTCATTGTCGTTGTAAGTCGTCGCCCATTTCTTACTGGTCTATCTGCCTGTGTGTCCTTGCGTCCATTCGTCAACAACCAAGTTCTGCCTGAGCTAGCCGTGTATGCTTTTATTCACTCGCATGGTCCGTTCGCTCTATCCAATTTTGAGCCATCGAAAATTGACCAGAAACTAAATTCAACAGCGGCTACAGCAGTCTTAACCGAATCAGACTGCCGACCTACTAACAGCTAACCGAACGGGCCAGTAAACGCGCGCGCGCCCGGCACCCGACGCCTGTCGCGTCAAGGAGATCTGATGGTCGCAGTGCTGGCCCTCCTGCTTTGGCCTACGTGACCAGACAGACATCGCGCCGTGGTGGCAGCGGCTGCAGCAGCGGCAGAAGTCAGATCAGTGAGGACAGCGGCGATCGCCGTAAAGATAGTCTTACCTGCTGCAGTAGCAGCTAGTAGAAAGGAGATACACGAGCAGTTAGCTTCTAAGAATGAGAGGAAAAAAGAGCTGCTAGGCGGGTCAATGAGAGAGCAAGTTTGGTCAGCGCGACCAGATCTCAAGCGGACTTGATCTCAGCTGTTTAGCGTACGCTCGAAGAGAAACTGTGCACCACAGCTCCCGGTCCAAAAAGCACATGAACTATGCACATAAAGGAAATAGAGACAGCGACAGACAAATGGAAAGAACAAACAAACCGACACTACGAGCTGAAACCCACTAGCACGAGGCAAGCACACAACTGATCACAGCCAAGTAACTAAGGCAGGCAGACAGCCCGCTCATCCTCCTGAATAATGAGAGGAAGGCAGTCATTCCAATAGGCCAACCGCAGCAAGCCTTATTCTCACTGTCATTTTCAATCTTACCATCAATGTGGCTATCAGTATTAAATAAAGAAATTATTAGATTCGTATCCGGACAGGCTCGTATTCCAAGTAAAGCTAAACAATTATTTGCGAACAGCACCGATTATAGCTTCAGTTTTGAAGGCCATGGCCTTCAGTGTCAGACTAGTAGTATGCGACGCATTTAAATATAATAAAATAAACGTTATCGTATATGAAAGTAAGTAATAATAGACGCTACCGAAAATATCAAATTCTGAGGATGGCTGTTAGTGCATTTTTTTAGCCCGAGTCTCAAACCAGCACTCCACGGACGATGCCCAACGATAGGACCACCAGCAATTTATAGCCAGGCGGTGGTAAAAGTAATGGCACACATTTTGACCTGATCATTTTTTCTAGGACTTCTAGACGATAGTAAGTGTCAATTCAGTAACTTATTAATGGTTATGCGAGTACACCATGATGTTTCGATCATTTTCACAGATACGGCCTCTCACTATAGTAAGGGGCGGGTCGACGGTCAATGATACCGTGACCCCGTTCAGAGATTCATAGAGGCTCCTAAAAATTCTGTCAGCCGGAAACCTGCAGGGCCTTGAAATAATAGCATCTGCTTTTTTTGCGTGCTTTTATTATTTTACAGTAAGATTTCGGCCATCCCATACAGGTTCGAAGAAACATTTTGGCTAACCTGTTTCGACCTTCAATCACACAGAAGCGCACTTCACTATCACTGCACGCATCCAGCTCACGCACACACCACGTAGCTGGATCTCGCGCCGCAGGCGACGTGCTTTGTTTGTACCGCGTGCACCGTAGGTTGCTGCCACGAATGATTTGTCGTAAAGACGAAGCACTCAGTCTCTAAACAGACAATTTTAATGTCCTTTCATGTAAAAAAACAGCCATAGACGGGCCAAAGATGAGCATGTGGATCGTAGAAGCACAGGCTCGGTCATTTTTCAAGCGGACTTCGTCCATCCACTCTCTATGTATGGACAGAGTCGGCAGAGTAAGCGGGGTGCGCGGAACAGCTAGAACAAACAGCCGCTTGTTTAGCAGACCTAGTAATAGTCGCAAAAGGTTTATTCCCTATCTTTCCACGCGGCCACTTACCCTATATCCGGCAAAGACACTCCATAGTAAATCCTTTTACCACGCACTACACCTTCGCTGACTACACACAGCAGTCCTCAGCGTGCACTCAGCTACCGCACTCTCACTTCACCGCACCTCACAATTCTTTTGACCAGGCACTCTACTACGTGCCGCGGGATCGGGCAAGCTCGCTAAGAGCTCCTTACAAGCATCAGATGAACGCATGCCACCTTCAGCTATTCGGTATAGCGGGCCCGTTTAAATCTCGCGTTGAGGACCGTCTGCCTGCATGCATCTTCGACGACGCTGACGCCAAAGAAAACACCACAGCGGCGGCGGCCGCTGCTGCTGCTGCTGCTGCTGCTACCGCTGTTGCCGTCGCTGCTAATACAAAATCGTCGTAGCCGAGCGACCAATGATAATGAAAACATACAACAAGTTTATGTGGAAGAGGACACGCGGTTAGTGAGTTCATGTACTACACACAACTAACAAACGTTTGCCAGTGCGACGGTCATAACCACTACTCCTATTAGCACGAGACAACGATAGGGACTGCTCGCAGAAAGGAGGAATTCTAAGATTCTCTAGGCATAAATGCATATCGTCTCGTGGACGTATGCATCGTCTCTGTTGATCTGTGTGTATTATGAACGTTAGTGTGCGTGTATGTGTGTGTCCATAGCAAAACGATAGAAGATTACTGTGCACTGGAAGACACTGGTGCAGCGCTGTTAAAATTACCAGGTGCGTATTTAGTAAACCAGCTCATCTAAGAAAAACCATTTTTTTGCTTGTACGAGTTCATTGATTTGAATGAAACAGCGGCTGGCAGAAAACATTTGTTCTAAAATCACTCGACAATATATCCTAAAGCGGAGTTCACTGACAAATGCTAAGGGTCTCGTGAAACGAAATTTGTATACTATAATTTTTGTAGTGTGTTCTTTGCTATAGTTTTCTATAGTACAAATGTACAAGTCCGATTCAATTTCAAGTCGCTACTCAGCCAATGCGGGAGCAAGTGTCGATTAACTGTTTGAAAAGCCCGCGCTACCGTTAACTGTTAGCTGACAGCAGCGGGAGTTCGTCCTCAGCGGCGGCTCGTGATGGCGCCCCTTCTCGCCTATGCGCGCGCAGCGCTTCATTGCCCAACGAAGAGAGTTGGTGTGCGGCTGAAAGGTAAGGCTCTCAGGATTTTGCCTCGGAATCTGTCAAAATATGGAGAAATACGTGGAGTATTTTACGGCAAAACGCTTCTGTCGGTGCGATGCACGTTTACACGTGCGAATATCGGTGAAAAATGTGCGTGTTTCTCGAAAAATCGCTACCAACAAATGCGACCCCTAAAGGCTAACGCTGCTACTGCTTGTTTCTACACTACCGCCGTCTAGCTAGCTGTTTGTTGGCCCCATTCAGTTAATTGTCCGTATTGCTGATGCTCCTGCTGCTGGTGATGGTCTTGATCGTGATGACGGCGGCGACAGCTTGCTGACCCACAACTCCTGTAAATGGCTGCAGCTGCTACGTCTTTTCCACCTGCACCATCGATCGTGCCAATACTGATTCTACAGTTGTTGTTGTTGTGTGCAATGGAACGGCCCTCGCGAATGGTTGGCTCTTGTGGACAGCCAAACCCAAACAGATTAAGTATAGCGGCCAACGGCAACGGCCAAGGCCTTCACCGAATTTCGACGGATATGATCGGTATTGGCCACTCCACAGGGCCAAAGCCTCGACTGAGCTGCAGACTCAAAACGGCTGTAGTCTCTTGTTTCGCGACGGGGCAACTTGGCACAGTCGTATCGTACGTGTATGTAAAGTACGCGGGAACTGGACCGATGATGTCTGTGTTGGCCGCTGGTCTTGGTCTTATTCTGCGTGCGTGCGTGCGTGTGTGTATAGTTATCTGAGCTGCTACGGTCCACCGCGCTACGACGTTGTATCTATGTTATGGCTATTACAGTGGTCTGTGTGTCAAGGTGCCTGCGGATTAATTATGCGAGTCAGTGTAGTAGTACGCTGATGAGGGAGCCATAAGACGATTTCGGAGCGGGAGAGCCGGAGTGAATCTGCATCCAAGATGTCGGCAGCTGCGGTGCCCGCGCCGCGTCCGGCTTAGGGAACCAGATGATAACAGCAGCAGCAGCATCAGCAGTGACAATAATAACAGCCGCGGCAGCGTTAGTGGTTGCAATTCGGATTCTATGTTTGCGTGTTGGAAGACTTGTTTCACCCTTAAAGAGAGTTGGCCGTTCGGATCAGAGAGAACTAGCAGCTTTGTCTCTGCTAGCGAAATAGCAACGCGATCGGTGGAAGATTGGAGTAGGTTGTTCGTTGGCAACTATTCCTAGCCGGTAACGCCTGCTAGCAAAAAGCGTCCGCTCCATTTAAGCTAAGAGCCCTATCTGACATTTTGTCTTGTAGAAGACTCAGAGCAATCAGATATCGAGTAATTGTTCAAAGAGGAGAAATAATCAAGCAAAGGTTGCTATACTGTCTAAAAAGTTAGTAAACAACGTCGTTAATTAATCTGCTAAGTGCAAGTGCGGTTCGTCATTTTCAATATATTCGTCAATTGATAGTCACCTTGTGTTTTGTGCGTGTGTGTTCGCACTGTGATTTGTGATTTGCAGCGAAAACCCGAAGCAAGCGTTGTTCCTAACTACTCGTATCACTACGACCACAACAACTCGTTCCAATGGCCCGTACGAAGCAGACCGCGCGTAAATCAACTGGAGGCAAGGCGCCTCGTAAGCAGCTGGCCACCAAGGCTGCTCGAAAGTCGGCGCCGTCTACGGGGGGAGTGAAGAAGCCCCACAGATATCGGCCAGGTGAGTACGAACACAACGAGAATTGTAGCAACCTCGCAACGTGTTAGCTGGTTCCTCATACATATGTAACCACATACGTATATACTGTTTGCTGACACAAGACATGATGCGACTGCTACGCCGCTGACCGACATTGACGGTGTTAGCGGAGCCAACGGGAGTTTGTCTCGTCTTTTGATTTCGAGCCTTAGCGGCTGGCTATGGGAATGGTAGCGTTAGAAGAGTCTTATGATTCGAGCTACACGAGTCATCCCGTGCGAAAGAATCTGCCGCTGCGTTTAGTTCGTAGCTAACTGTAAATCAGCCTGGTAGTTTTCACCTTTCCCAACATCATCTTCGTTTTTCTCCCAATTTTGTTGCATCTATCGCCGCGCCATTGTGAATGTTTTGTTTTGGTTATTGTAGCTCCGACCGCTGTTCGCATCATATACGTGCTCCTTCAAATCGTAGACAATATCGTAGCGTACTGGGTGCCGTTATTTCGCAGTACGCATTTAGTTGGAGGGGTCGTTGCACTCTGGAACTATCTAAATCGAAAACCCATAGCGGATGCTATATGACATAAGCAACCTGTAATAATAGCTTTTATGCTATATGACATAAACAACCTGCAATAACAGCTGTTCTGCTATACTCGTAAATAACTGTTCTTGTTTCATCGTCCGCTCTGGTGGAAGTTTTTTGAATAGAAATACATGATTGGACGTTCCGGCCGCCACAGTTCCTTTGACCATGGCCTAGTAAAGAACTACTTAACAATTCAACTCTCATTGAGAAAGTAGTTATTTTAGGAACAGAACTTGTTGAGGACAATGCGACACTGAACAACTGAATTTCGAATCGAAGGAGATATGAAATCCTCTACAATAGATCATACAGTCACTCTAAAGCTCTCATTTAGCATCTGAAGTCCAAACTTTAGCCAAATCGTATAGACCATAGGTTGGATTTTATAGGAATAATTAACTTTTTGTCGAAAAAATGTTTTAAAAATTGCTTGATTCTACAGACAAGCGCGCTTGACTTAAAAATAGAGACAAAGCATAAGTGATGGTAGACATGAACATAACTCTGTACTAGTCAGCACGACAACTTGACGAAGTTTTATTTCGACGTATACTTTAATTGGTATCTATTACTAGCATGACTTCCGCTTCTGGTCTGTAAGCACTTGGATAACTATCATAGACTGAAGCGCCGCTTTAGTTACACCTATTTTTGTCTTCCATTCAAGTACTAAACTTCTTTGCGCCTCTAAATATATAGCTGTATATATAGCTCCAAAAACATTCATGTTATAAGGACACCATGAACTTATATGCATGCGTTCTCATCAATTCGCTTTCGTTAATTTTTTTTCGTTTTTAGGTACTGTCGCCCTTCGAGAAATTCGTCGTTATCAAAAATCGACTGAGCTGCTGATCCGTAAGCTGCCGTTCCAGCGTCTGGTTCGTGAAATTGCGCAGGATTTCAAGACCGATCTACGTTTCCAGTCCGCTGCCATTGGTGCTCTTCAGGAGGCTTCGGAGGCCTATCTCGTTGGTTTGTTTGAGGATACCAACTTATGCGCTATCCACGCCAAACGTGTAACCATCATGCCGAAAGATATCCAGCTCGCGCGTCGTATCCGTGGTGAGCGTGCTTAAGCAGTCGCCACCGTCGTTCCTATGTTCATTGTCATTGTCAGAAGAGTAACTGTCAATGAGGAATGATTGAATGAGGTAAAAGAAAAAACATGAAAAGGAAGAGCACCATCGGAGAAGTGATGAATGATGACGATGAATGAAAATGGCGCCGAAAGGATGTCATAATAGCGACAGTCAAAAGCAACAATATTATTAACTGCAATCCAACCTTTATATACCACCGGAACATGAATGAGCCAGAGATTCGTACGAAAGTTAATAACGAACACGACCGACGTCATAACATCCCACTCATGCTTAGCTTCGCTTATCGTTCTTCCGTGAAACGTATGTGATGTTACGTGCTGCCCTTGCGCGTACAGCTCGCTGTGAGGGAGTGATGTAAACGGGCGCAAAATTCATACGTACCAGCTTACGACGTGCCACGGGGGACGCCAGCAAGCGGCGGTTGGGGGCTGAAAAAGAAAACAAAAACACCAAAAAACTATCTAAACAAAAAAATCAACCTGTATACAGCTATCCTCAGTTCTAACCAAGATAAGACCTGAAACAAATAATTGCTAGACGAACGATATGTCAAGCAAGAGGCATAATAATAATGATAAAAAGCAAAATGAGATGTGAAAAAGACGACGAAAGAGGATGGTGACGATTAAGAGTTAATCATTATACATGTACACATTATCATAATGGTGTGATGCCGCCCGGATTATGGTCATAGTAGAAATAAACATAAGACTGAATAGTAATTTAAATTATATTATGATGATACTAATAATGAAGCATATAAACTCATCAATCTGAATAAAACAAAATGTGATAGAAAAAAGAGTTAAAATTTTGAGGAACAGACTTTGCAAAATTGTGTCATTTTATTTAGTTGATGGTTAGCCGAATACTGGCGTCAGTAATATAACCGCATTCGTACAAGTGATTACCTTGATTACTTAACAGAAATCAATTGTATCGACGCAAAGAAATAATGAAAATGAAATAATCGGCCGTGATGTGGTGATGTGTGCAGGCACTAAATGTGTCCTAGCAATTTGTAAGGTGTTCTAATCTACAAGCAAGCGTTTTGGTGGAGTAGTAAGCATATTGACTGATAAGTCTCCAACGTTCGTCTCAGCCGTCAGCCTCAAACCCGGGCTGGAAAGAGACGTAACGAATACTGCACACATCACAATAAGCTTTGCATTGAGAGATAAGAATATTCCAAATCGACACAGCAACTGTAGTCCATAAACAAGCATTATCCTATATAAGCCATATAACAATCCATCACCTCTTACATGATTAATATGATGTGGCTGGTGTCTAAGTCCGCGTAAATGCATACGTGTGATTATGATGAGAAGATGTGAAGAAAGACTTTGTAAACATTCAACATAATGAGATTGAGAATAACACAAAAAACGAAACAGGTACCTATTATACGCAGCACGCAAAAATACTAGACGGAAAGCTAAGGCAGTTTACGATAAAATGAAAAAGCAGAGCAAAAATAAGGCGTTCAGACAATAAAGAAGACAGTGTTCTATCAAAAGGTAGCGCAAATATGAGTCAGAGAAAATAAAGAAAGCACTTTTGATTCTGTGGTTGTTCGCTGATGAGAAGATCCATATCGATCGGACGATTGCGCCAATATAAAAATTCTACAGCAACCTCAATAAAATTCACTAGCTCATACCTAAAAAATGGTGTAGTTCCTTTGTGTTTGACCTGAGGGGCACAGGATATTTACTGCGGTAAGATTCGAACCGTCTATGAGAAACCATTTGTAAAACTATTATAGGCGTTAAGATCGATCATTCCAAGTTGGGTGTTAGCGCACCCGATCAATAGCAATATTCTGAATAGTTGTTGCAAAAAAGCCCCGTAATGTATTTCCATTTGATGACAGCATTTAAAAAAAATGGATTTTGCCAAAAAAGGAGGCTGAAGATAACGGCTGTCTAGGCATTAGCATATGAAAAAATACGTTACAGAAGTTATGCGTTTAATCTGATAGTTTACTAACCGACGTCTCCAATATTTATTAAGCGCCTCAGTGAAATTTTTATGAGATCTTAGGCGTAAATTTGGCGTAAGACTACAAAAAAGAACAAGCACCAAGGCAGAATACGGATATGCTTGAAAATAATTTTAACAAACTATTGTCTATCTAGGATGTCATTATTCAATTTTCTTAATCACTATACACTTGTCGTAGGGGCACTGACCTATATAACAAGCTAAGACAATTCGAAAAAACCAAGTCTAATAAAGAAGACGAAATAATAATGAAAATTGAATTGAAATTTTCTAGTAATAAAACCTAGAGGAGTCTCAGATAAAGTATTTATTAATAATAATAATACCAACAACGACAATAATAATAATATTAGTAATGTCGCTCTCGCTATTTCACAGATGTATATTTAAAGTGAGACCAGGGTTTGACAGAAGAGTCAGTTCCTCCTTATGCCTTTTTATTTCTGAGATTTAAATCACAATAACATAATTACATATAGTGATGTGTTCGCTAAGACAGCGTTACCATTCTAAACTACCTATTTTTAGGAAAAAGTGGGACATAAAAGGCAAACATAAAATTCATATAAATCTGTTGATAGATAGACCTGTACTACGTATACATTACGCAACAGCAATTTTCCTAACATACATGAGGAATACTTAGCTTAACATCTCGATGCATCGATCTTCGCATTTTAGTGTTGATTCAGAGCTCTCCATGAAAAATATTACTAGTTAATAATGACCGTTTTTCATTATTAGCTAGAAATATTCTCTCCCTGTTACATAACGTATTCTTCTAGCGTTCGTCTATCCTTTAAATATTGCTGTTGTAGTAGAAGCTGTAGTTGCGTTTGCTAGAACTTAGAAAAAATTCGTGTACCTATGTGTTTCATGAATTTTGTGTCAATTTTTGCTAACTGATGCAACCGCCTGCCAAACGATATATTAACCGTCATAGTTTTCTTAGGGCGTTAACCTTCATCAGTTCCGTGACAAGTATCCTTTGAAAAATAATACAACACTAACGTGTCCGTGGTGCACTTTACGTGACTTTGCACAATATTGCGTATTATTAAAACCGAAAGATCCTCACGAGTTAACTGCTTACACTTAGATCACTAAATTTTACAAAAAATTTATTCTGAAAATTCCAAAAAATTATGCAGCCCAAACTAAATACAAGTTAAACTATTCTATCGAGAACCAAAAAATTGCTCGGAGAAAAAATTAAAAAGCTTTTTGATTTTTTTCATGAAGAAGGATACGTATTGAATGCTACCACCGATCGCTTCGGTATATTGCAGCAAATAGAAGATGGCAAAAAAATCTTTGAATTCTGCCAGCTTGTCAATCTCATAGCCCTGAACCCGATATGGATTCATAAAGCGATACGTTGGTAAGAAGTTGGAACCGTTGAGATAAATAAACCGATTAGGGTGCCCTCGTGCTGAGAAGTTAAGGCTTTCAAAAGCTGTCTAATTTTTAGTTAGAAAATGTATCTTTTCGCTATAATATAAGCAAAAAAAACCTTGGTGTCAATGTAAAGTTTGAAATTTATTTATATGGCATGTAATTATATAATTGTATAATTATAATGCACGGATTGGCCATAATCTAGCAAGATCTCTAGCTTAGAGCCCACCTACAGTATCGATTCCTTAAGATTCTTCAGCATCCATTTTCTCTTCGGCGATACCGACCGCATTATCAGTTACTGCTTGGCCCTTTTTGCTTTTAAGCCCTTTCATTTTACGTGTCTGTAGCTTCTGGAAGTCTTGCCTCTCCATATGGACCCTTCCCAACGATGTCCCCAGGTCGTTCTGCTCCATATTTTTCTTTCTTTTTACCTTCAGTTCTCGTGGTCTCCGCAAAGCCTAAAAGTGGATATATTGATCGTGCAGTCGTAAGTCATTTGAACTTAAGTGAAAACAGCTTAACTGATCAATTCGGCTAGAAGTTCGAAAGTACCCACGTTTTTTGAATAAATGCAGAACTGTTGCTTCTACACTATGCATTTGTTATAGATAGATAAACGCTAGCTTGATCCGTACGCCATTATTGCCATATTTGTTTTCAGATAGCAAACCAAAATTCGGTCAGGTTCAAAGAGACAGGGTGTTCAGAAAACTATCCAATCCAATGTGTAAATAACTAATATCGAACAGTTTTAAAAATGACCTTTTATGCAATATGGTCCTTTATTTCTTTTTTTTTTGTAAATATGTGCAGTACATATCGACACAAAATGGCAACGCTTTCCCGTTAAAGGCGAAAACTCCATCAACCCACCAACATCATGCTGAGAATTTTAGGTTGTTAAAGGTAAATCGTAGAAATTTTTTGCTTGTTCCATTTTTAGCGCTGGATAATTTTCAGAACGCCCTGTACACCGTAATCCTAACAAGTTTGCGAATAGCACGTGAATACCGACCTGTTTAAAGAGGTCGTCGGATGCTATTTTATTTCGGCGAATCTTTAAGTCCATTCGAGGGCCGATTTCTTCAATTTCGACTCGCGGTGACTTCTGTCCACTCTTCTTCAACTGCACCTGTAAAGTAACGTGCATGAAACGTTTCATTATATATATATATATATATGTATATATATATATATATATAGAGAGAGAGAGAGAACGTAAATTCTGCTTATAAAATGGAATACTAAATGGGATTTAAATATTATCGAAGATATTCTATGTTGTAAAAAAATGTGTGCAGAATTTAGCATAAATTAATCGAAAGGTTTTCCTCACCTTATAGCTTCTTAATAGAATCGAGATAGTATCCAGTATAGTGAACGAGATTACGTGTTCGAGTCCAGTCACCGCGATGTAGTCGCGGGGTTCGCCCTTGAAGAAGTCAATAAAGAAATTCTTCAATCGTTTCATCTCGTTGCTGTGCTGCCAAGATTCACCAGAAAACACAAGAATAGGTTTCAGCATAACTCCGATCTTGGGAACTTTAAACTCCTGCAATGATTTGAAATTTTCCACACCAAATTCAAACTGATCGATGATCATTCTGTCGAAGGTGCGTCCAAGCACGATATTTTGTGGCCTTTTTTTGTTGTGGCTACCGAAGGCGAATAAAGACGTATCTTTTTTACCCATCAACTTCTCAAGCGGTGATGGATCCTCGAACGGCTTGATGTCATTTCTCTGCTGGTAAAATACGGATTCGCTTTTCTTCAGAGCATAAATATCTTTAAGGATTTGAGTTGTTCGCTGGTTAATATTATTTCCCTTGACAAATGATGTCTTCTTGGGGTTCTCAATAACCTGCGGTTCTCTTGCTTTCAAAATTTTCGATCCTTTGCGGGTTTTCGGTTGATCAACCCGGGCGACAGCAGTCATTTTGATTTCAGTAGTAAAAATGGCTTCTTCATACAACTAACACAAGTAATCACGATGGGATACTACACTAACTTCTCACAGTTTAGTCTATATACATACTGATAAACCTTTTTAATAGCGTGAGTTCTGTTTGACCACGTGCTTTTGATTATTGTGGCCTTAGCCACAGTACTTAGCCTTTACAGGACACACATAACTTGGCCAGCTGTGTGGTTCCGTTGATTAGAGCTTGGATTATCAGGATTACAACATATACCCCGTGCAGCGCGCACATGCAGAATGTACAACTTGTCGTTCTGTTAAGTACATTTTAATTTTTAGCTGGTAAAAAATAAATACTCTGCAATAACGTAATATCTAGTTTTCTAATTCGAGGAAATGAAACGAAATGTGACTAGTACGCAAGTCTTAATTTAAAATCCAATTCATCCTAAGAGGACTAATAATTCTCAATTTCTTCAATACACTCAAAAGGGCTGTCCTTTGTCTTACAGCCTTTCTGTAGTAACACGTAGAAGCATCTGTAGCAGTCATATCAATAATATCATAATACGCTTCATTTCCAAACCTGTACGGATTTTATATTATAACTATAACAATCTACTTTTGAAATTATTCTATACCGCCGTTTTTCTTATGTTTCAATGTTATGTGAAAATATGATGAAATAGATTCGCGAAAAAATTGTATTTAGTCAGCTAAGACGCCAAAGGCGAGAGTGATCCGTAAACCCCAGTACGATTTACTCTATTAATGCAATTGGCATTAATTCATATAAATCATTAAATATCGTTTGTATTTCGGTAGCAAGAAATACTATACAAAAAACTTTGTTCACTAGCTCGTGGCAATTTCGCACGGTCCTTCTATGTAAACAGATCTATGAACGAGTTATCATAAGAATTGCATATTCCGATGAACTATCAAAACGAAAAGGTAAATAAAGGTTTCGAATTTACGTGCAATATTACCGATGAGAATTTGTTTAAAGAAAATACTCTCTTTTTTTTAGGTAGGTAATAATAATAATTGTTTCGATACATTATACCTCATGTTATCTCGTTATTTGCCAATTAACTTTGATCAAATATAGGCAAAGGCTTTAGCTGATGCTTGAGTGATTTTTCATCCAGAAATATAAATTAAGCCATATCATGCTCCAGAATTGGATGGTTTGAAGTGTAGACCATTTTTCTCGTGATCAATGTTTTGTTTAGGATAAAGAGCTCTACAGCGTCAGGGAATAACGCTGCATAAGAAAGCGGGCAACCATTCTGAGAATCCATTTCGAGAAACCTAAAACAAGTCTAGCCTTTTACATAATCTAATATTATTAAGTCAGCTAAGTGAAAAGCACCCTGTCTTAGTACAGCTCAATATTAGACCCACTTCTGCCGACCTGATGACATGAGTGGATTATTCAATATTCGAGAATTTATACTGTCAGCCTATTCAACTGAACTTTGCTGACATTCGTGATGTTTCGCACTCATAGTTTGACCACGTTTAGACTGGTGAGCACATAACTTCCTATATTCTTCAGAGTTATAGGTCCAAGTAATGTTTGGAAACGACTAAGAATACATTTTTCCAAGGTTCCTATTTTATGTTCGAGATAATGACGCAACCATGCAACCAACGGCCACACCTGTTCACGGTGTGAAACTATACCGGCGATAAACTTGTGCTCCTCTAATTACAGGAAACTATAAGAAATAATAAGAAAGCGCCAAAAAGAGCTATGGATAGATAAAGAAACGACACATGCCCACATCCCAAAGAAAGAATCTGTCAAGAGAATTAGCTTAAATGATTCAAGACCATAAACCAATATTGTAATTAATTAGCAAAAAAACTATGCATGCAATATAGCACAATAATCTTGTGTAATTTTCCTTTTCTTCATAAAAGTTTTCTATTGATAAACTGCTAAAAATAGGAGAAATCTTTACACATGTTTATGATACGAGTAGATCAACGCAAATATGTCAACGTTCTTAATCTGGCAACTTCGACCAGTATCCTTCTAATACAATTAAAATTTTAAAAAAGACAGTAACATACTCTGTCAAAAAGAAATCTGTAAAAAAACATCAGCTTAGATATATGTTATATATCCTCTACTAATTAGCTGTTTTTAAAGCATTATTTTATATGAGAAGAATTGTAAATAGATCTCCGGATCTGTGCACAATTTATCTCATATAAAATCATGCTTCTCAAAAAATATGATACTATCAACAACCATATACTTTCTACAACTATAGATTTGGGAACGTTATTTAGCTGGAAATGCTCAGTTTCCTGAATGAAGGTGTGAACTATTTATTGCAATCTATCATTAGCTTGTCCCACGATAACTGAAGCAAAAGCAGCGCTTAGAGCCTTGAGCCTGATGCCGATTGCGGTTTCGCTATACCCCTACCGTCACAAACACTTCTGAAGGAGCTACTTGGAAGCAAGGGGATACTGCCTCTTTCCCTTTTAGCCCGGGTGTTAGGAAGTGCAACCGATCCTTGAATCTAACCCATGGCGGGCGATTCACTAGTACGGATTGCCGCTCCGAGCCGGCGGCTGGATCCATAGTTAAGGGCATCCAACAACCGGTGTTGTTGGGCGGCAATTCAAAAACCTGATCACACAGAATAAATGATTAGCTATCGCTTGCCATATTCGCATAACTGTTATGCTAGTTCACGGAACAAAAGATCTCCATTTCGATTTTTTCTTCCCCATTGCTACATGCGCTTTATTATTTTTATTTGTCGCCTTTTATCTAAAATAGAGCCTTTTTTATTTTCCTTCATTCCTCTTTATTAATTCTGCTGCGTATTTATTAGCTTTCTCCCTTTCTTCCTCTCACGTACACACGCATACACTTTAAACACCATACACGGAAAAATGCGTACAGCTGTTGTATACCGCCTATCATTTGATACTGCAAGCTCTGTTCTGCACGCGTTCGCCATCTGTCCTTCTGTCTGGACGGCGTTGTCTATGTCAACTTTATTCGCTTTTCCTATCGCCCGCTCTTGTTGTCTCATCATATTCTAAAGGGGCAGGTACGACAGACGCCTACTTGCCGACTACTGCTTCTACGCCAAGCTTCTATATCGTTATGCGTTGTATGCTCCTCAACGGGATTTTACGCCTTGCTCACACTCTCGTGTCTCATCGACTGCGGCATAGCCAGTAGGCAAGTGTAACACCCAGCGCGTGTGGTCGACCAACCAGTTCTTCGGGGCCCTCATATCCACTCTCCAACAGAATAATACTCTCAGCAGACATCCTCTATGTCAATCATCATGTATTGCCTTCTTGCTGCTGCCGCAGTTGCTACTGCTCAGCTTGCAACAAAGCTATCTACACAGAGATAAGTCTAGAAAACGCTGTCAGAGAAATAAATTTGATCATAAACAGCATGGTATGGTTTGCGGTAATAGAATAGAAAAATCGTCTGCCCTGCCAGCCAGTCACCTCCATTCGTTAGTCCATTTAGCCTGCCAGATAATTAGGAATGAAAAGAAGGCAAAAATATATTCGAATTGCCGCGCGGCGATCGGTATTACTCCGCCAGCGTTCGGTGGATCTCGATGGTGGCGCCGTCGGCGACGCGTCCAGGGTGCGAGTTGGATCAGATGTTTCGCCGCAGGTCTGCCCTGAGCGTTTTCGATGTTTGCGTGATTGAGGCCGCGGCAAAGGCGGCACCGAGCGAAGGCCCGCGACTCAGAGGTTGGCTTCGTATTCGGGGCCATCCGTTGTCGCAGTATGGTAATGCCCCCTGCTTCGACCGGCAGCCAAACAGCCCCTCCCCCTGCCCCTTCCGCCTCCTTGGCACTAGCGGCAGCGCGCCAGACTTCGCCGACACCGCCCACCCCCAGTGGCGGCAGCCCCGCTGTACTAGCAGCAGGGCACGCGACGTCAACATCAACAACAGTAGTAGCGCTAGCGGGCGCAGCAGTAGCAGCGGCAGCGATATCAGCGTCGTCCATAGAATCGCACACAGGCCTAGCAACGACGACAGGAACAGCAGTAAGCACTGCAAGCCTGCAGAACAACAATAACAGCAGCGCTGCGAGTCATAACCATCATCAGCACAACCATTATCCGTTGCAACAGCAGCAGCTTCCTCAACACCATCCCCAACAGCAACAACACGGTCAACAAAATCAACAGCAGCAGCAGCAGTGCAACCAGCATCCACATCACGTTTACAACAACATAAGCAGCAACAGCACTACTGTTTTTGCCTCGAACAGTGTGGGTTCTACCGAAGGTATCGGAGTGGCCAATGCGGTGGCGACCAGCCACAGCAGCAGCAGCAGCAGTAACAACAACAACAACGGTCCTGTGGGTGGTGTTGTCGCTGCCGGAACAACTGCAACTGCTGCTTCTGGAACGGTGTTAACAGTTGGAGGAGGGGCAGCAGCGGCAGCAAGCACAGTCACCGCGACAATAACGTCGTCCTCATCGTCTCAATCAGTCGGAGGAGGGGCGGGAGCAGCAGCGAATACGAACTCCGGAACAACGACGACAACGACAGCAGCAACGCCCGGCACGCCAGTGGGCCCTGGCGCCGCGGCTCCCTCCGGGCTATTGACGCCCGGAGGTGCTGGTGGAGGTGGTGGGGCTGGGACGGGAGGAGCTGCAGGCGCCCGAAAGAAAACCTCGTTCCAAATCACCTCGGTTAAAGTGCACGATGGTGGAACACACGAAGCTCAGCAGCCTGGCGCTACTGCTGGTGCTGCTGTTTCTGCGACGGCAACACAACAGATTCAGCGCGATGAGCCTGATGCGGCTGTCGCTGCTAATGCCAATGCGGCGACGTCAGGAGGTCAACAACAACAGCAACAAGGCCAACAGCAATTGCAACCGTCGGATAGTAATAGCAACAATGGAAATAACAACAGCAGCAGCAACAACAACAGCAGTAACAACAACAGCAGCAACAACAACAACGCTCATAGTGGTAGTGTAAGTCATGCAGGTGGCGGCGGTAACAGCAACAACAATGCAGCAGCTGCTGCTGCTGCTATTGCTGCTTCTGCCAGTGGAAGTCACGGAGGAGAGCACGCCCCCCCTGGCCAGCCCAATGGAGACGCCGCAGCCCATGACAAGGTACATGGCCGTAAGAATAAAGCATGCCACCGCCCATTGTTTCGCCTACTCAACTATTACGACACAATTTAAGTGGTGTTCGTTCCTCCTGTTAATGTAACAACTTTACAATATGGGTGACAACAACAACAAATACAGCATTGCTTTATGTACATACATGTAATTCCCCCTGCCGCGCCTCGACAACAATACGATTAGCTCCGTGAATATGTTGCAGTAGCGCAAGATAGAGAAAATAGTTTTTATTCTGGCAAATAATAAGACCAGGCATTGTGTGGATGTTAGTATCTTAATAATTGTGTGTGACCGCGTCGTGTGTTGATGAGTTGATGGAAAGGGTCGCGCTTGATTGTCTTCTTGGAGTGTTCAGATCTGCTTGTGTTTATTACCTACTGGTTTAATCGCTCTCGTCGGTTGTGTTGTTTCAGTCCCAGCCGCCGCCCAGCTCGCGTTTTTCATACGGCGTTCGTCATACAGTCGTTTGATGAACATCAATGCTTGTATCAATTCATAGAACAACCTCGTAGCCAGTGTGAAGGCAGTAACAAAAGTGGTAAATGTGAAAAGGCCTTCATTCGTAGTCCAGTGTTTGTCGAATCTTAATGATTGTGCGAATGCTGTGATGTTTTCTGACTACATGCGTGCACCCTTATGTAGAAATAAAGACTGTTCCGTCTACAGCTATGTATCTCTCATAGTGCAAAGGACCCGTGTCGGTCACAACGGGCTAGGTTTCGTGCGAAGGGAGTGGTCTGGCAATGTGGCACTATCATCCTTATATCGATTTGATTTTTCCGGAGTCACGTGATTCAGTGACAGCGGATGGTAATAATAGTATTAACAATAGTTATTATTATTATGACAATAAATAGATCAGTTGCTACCGGAGCATTTCCAGACGGACTTGTCCCTTGATTCTACACTTGGTCTCACGTTTGTACCGGTTGCTGTCCGATGCTCTGTCAGCATTAAGTTCTCATTGTGCATCGACGCAGTAGCGAGAAACCAGTATGACCGTGTCAAAAATCGGTGTTCGTGTGAAAGGTTGCAATGTTCTGAGTAGTTTTAAGTATACAGCTACCAAGATTGTGCACATCTCCCTAAAAAGAAACGTATAAACGTGTATGTGTGTGAGGCCAGGGGTCTTTCTGGGCGTGTGTCTGGGTGTGGGTCTACTGCCTGAGTGCGTGTCTTCATGTGACTGTGTGCTTTTAATGGTGATTCCGAAGGCGCCCGCGAGTGGTCTGCTTTGGACCAGTGTCTGTCCATCAGTCCGTTTATCTGTCCATCTGTTTATATGCCTATCGGCGTGGTTGAGATGATTCGGATTGGTGCCTGGTCAAGTGGTGTGTGAGGTCTCTGCTCATCTAACCAGAAGATGACGCTTTGTACCCATCAGCCTCGTTTGGTACTGTCTATTTACGTATGTTAATATCCACACTATGGTAGGATGCTGCCATTGCTGGCTGTGCAGCTCTCATACATGTTTCTAAGCATATACATACATATTGGCCAAAGGAGAAGAGAACTCTTGTGGTGGGGTATTTATCGCTGACAGTTGATTATTGTGCCAGCGATGGAGACACAGACCAATCATTTGCCACCAAAGTCATCCACAATGAAACAATGGCGGTGGTAACGACTGTAGGCGGCTACGTAGTGTATAGCGACATCAAGTAGTCGCACTGGTTGTGGACACGGCTACGTCGGGAGCGGCCGTCCATATTGATACGATTGCTGGTTGTTGCTAATTCATAATAGTGGCCACAATGGCCGCTGTTATTGGCCGCAATAAGTGGCCTGGCCATTGTAGGTCGGTGTAGTGTAGCGTGTTGTAAGCAGCGGCCGCGACAGTGGCTGACAGTCAGCCAGCCATCATATGACTGCCAGGAAGCCTTCTGCTGCTGCTGCTGCTGCTGTCTGACTCAATGTGCAGACGCGTGTCCGTCGGTCCTTCTATCATTGGCCACCGCTGGTGTTGCTTGCTGCTTGCTGAGGTTCACTGCCGTTTTCGTCGAGCCACAGAGAGCGTCTGCGGACAAGTGGCAAGCAGCAGTAGCGGCAAACGGGTTTCTGAACGCGCCCCGTAGTCGATATAGTGGTTTCCCTCTGCTTGCGTTGTTACTTAGTTTGTTTGACCGTTTCATTAGATGCTTACTGGTTTTCTGGCTGGCATTGGCTCGCTGACCAGATGTATAGATGGTGGGTAGCGGTCGGTGTCACCAGCATTACTTGACCCATCGTGGTAACTTTCCGGCGGCTGGTGGCGCCAGCGGGAAGGAGCGATAAGGGCAGGCCTCGAGGATGAGAAGTAAGCGACAAAATAAAATACACACACGCGCATATACATAGTTTCGGTATGGCAGCAGCAGCGATCGTTGGCAATGGCTGTCGTTTTGCCGCTACAGTTGCTGAAATACAAGCAAACGCAGGAGATACAGGCATAGACAAACAAATATAGAAAAAGAAGAGAAGAGCCCATAGAAAAGAGTTAACGTATCGTCATCAAACACGCATACGTATTGTGACTTAACATAGCAGATGAGTTTATTAAGGTGTCGATTTGTTGCTCGACTGATAATAATAGCAGCGGTTTTAATGAGAGAATAATTATCAAGTTGTGCGCCTGCAACGCGGGCACATGGCTGAAACAATACGGATAGCCGATATTTTACTCAAAAACCAACACCGCTGCGGCGACACAACCCTGATTACAGTAAATACACTCTTCGGTCAGACTCCATCGTCGCGTGATTTTGCTTGGAATTCTGCATTGTTGTTGTTCGTGCAGCTGTTGCTGCTATATTTTTCTTGTAGTGGCGTCCTTCACACTCTGGGAACGTAATGGCGATGACGAGAACATCGACGATGCCGCTGTTGCCTGTGGTGCTGTAAGGTTCACCCAATGGCGGATATCGTGTCTTGAAACGCAAGTCGTTTGGGGACCGACAGCAGCAGCGACTACGACATTCGTTCATTGTCCGCCCGCGCTGCCTCTACCGTCATAATCATCCTTGTGATGACGAGGCTGCTAATGGTGGCGATAGTTGATGGTTGTTCACCGAATAGGGTATTATAGTAGTAACACCGCAACTACAGCTGCGGCCTGCCTGTGGTCTGTCGGATGGTCGTTTTGTTGACGCCGCTGCTGTTGTGGTGTTGGGCTGTGTTAAGGGGAAAAAGAGGACATTGACGGCGATCACACTCGGCTCGTTATGTATCTACACATAGTATCGCAGCTATTTGCACCGCCAGCCGGTGACGCATACGGCCGTCGTTGCCCTACTGCTGCTGCTGGCGATGCCGTTGTTGCCAGCGACGATACCTTGGTCTGAGATCATCATCAACGTAGTCATCCATCGAGGACAGTTGCTCTTGATACTACCACCAGAGACATCATACATGTCAACTGTACGTCGGTATAGCGGCAGCGTCAGCCCTCGGCTTTATTTATCAGCCTTTATGGCTGTGATTCTCTTCATGTCCGATCTGAACAATGTAATTGCAGTAGCCGTTCGTTTGATCAGTGTTAGAAAACCGGGATTCCTTGACAGCGGCTGTTACTGCAGCAATCGAAATTTTTGGTGGCAACGTTATTTTTTGCCAACGCATAGGCAAGCCGTTACAATAAGTGAGATCGTATATGAAAGTCCTGACCGCTGCGGTTGTATCACCTGATTTCATCTTCTTGTCGGACAAGATTCCGCTGCTCTCTCGATGATTATGTGATACAAATATTATACACCTCCTTTCTCGTTATCGTGTGTAAGGTCTTTGAAATACGTCACATAAAACGTAATGGACTAAACATTTTGTCCCCACGCACCAACGTATAATATTAGTTAAAAAGAAAGGGCTGGAGCCACACGATACATTGCCATTTGTAAGTTGGCCCTTCATGTCGCGCCATCTCCAACGGAGCCATTTGAAAAGCAGTCCATTTGTTTCTCCAAAAATAGTCCGCTATTCATAGCCGCACAAGACGGTCAGTGAATTGAACGATTATATTGTCTTAGTAAATTCCTCATTTTAAATTATTTTAAACAGATTTACAGTTGGAAGCATACCCATGAAGACTGTTTTAAATTCCTTTTATATTTGCTTCGTTAGTATCGACACATTCGATTTTTTGAATAGGCCTCTAGTACTTTTTTTATGATTCCGTTGACTTCATCTCACTTTTAGGCGTTTTCAGTGGTGCTTTTTCTTACGAAAGTAGTGTTAAAAGCCATTAATTAGATTCTGTCTGCTCGGATCTTATGGCTCTTAAATCATAGGATTGTTATTATATGTCAAATCGTAGGGCTGTTAATCCTTATATTTATTCCCGTATTATTTCATATTTTAACAACAGCTATTTTATTATTTATATATTATTATTATTATACAGCGTTTATTATTATTTATAGAAGAGTCTTCGTCGATACTAACAATGTACTTGACTCTTTTTTACCCTTGAAGTCTACGAGTAGTAGAATTTACTAAGCATCCACTGGTTGTTGTGAATAGCGATGTAGAAGGATTTTATGAAACTGGCCGGTAACACCTTATCGATATCTATAGTTTAGGATTGATCGCGTTTGTCTCAACGTTATGATTTATTTTAACAGTACTCCATTTCGGGTATTTGTCAAAAAGGTAATTTTTAAGGCGACAAACAAAAGTGGCTGCAAAGGGCTACCTAGTTTGTAGTCTATAAGGTGCTATATAGTATGCGTAATAACTATGATTATATTTATTATATACAAAATGGCTGTCCTGTTTCTTTGAAGCTTAAAAGCCAGATATCGTATTGTTTAGTGCTGAAAAAATGTCTGCTAGGAAGATGAACGCTATCAACTCATATTTCGTAATTCAAAAAGTTACTTGAATAACCTACAAATGTCAATAGCACAAGACTGCCGCTTGATGTCGTGTTTTAATAGCACGAATAAACCGTAGTATCCAATGTTCTGTTACTTACAAAGTGTTATTGACTTCCAATAATTATAATAATAATAAAATAACAACAATAGAACATTAAACTGATTCCGCAATATCCTCCTGGACTAGGTATGAAGGGACTGGTGCCTTGATTTATGAAGGTTGTGACTATAAGTATCAATTAAACTTATTACCTTATGATTAATTAGACTTTGAGCTTTTTAGTTAGTAGAGCCAAAAATGCTCGACCTGTTCTGCCGCCTAAAACAGTTAATTTCATCTTTAGATAACACACTTGTTTCCGTCACGTTTGATAACACTTATAGTTTATTGGCGAGAACACGTATGTACTCTGCAGTACATACTGGACCACGTTGCACCAATTTAGCGAATCTAAGCCTCTACACGGAACATTCACACGAGACAATAGTACACTGTATAAACTCTGGAGTTAGTCTATGACATAATTTTCTAGAATATATAGTTACCTTGAAGAATGTCTGCTGCGATTTCGAAATTACTGAGGACTGCCCTTAATCAAAGAATATCTGTCTGATCCTGGAGCATAGTATGCTAACAATGTAGGCAGTGCATGGCAGAAAAGTCAATATCGGTCTTATTACATATTGCTATTGATCAAAAGTGATAATCCTTTATAAAAAAGCAATTCTTGTTATTAATATGTACTAAACATGCATGTATCTCTCTGAAATTCTTTAATATTTAGAGATGCGAAATAAGGAGTAATATGATAACTATTGTAATGCACCTATAAATAGTATGGAATTCCTCTTAAGTGATAACTATTATGCTGATAATGACCCTGATCTAACTGTTTACACATATATCATCGATGTCTTTCAGTCGGGTGTAGGTGGAGGCCCCGTAAAGAAGCACTCTATCACGGACCCTCAGGCGGTAGCCGAACAATGGAGTCGCCGATTCAAAGTTGTCAAAATACCGTTTGCCGAACCGTTCAAGAGGGGTCGGTGGACGTGTCAAGACTTCTTCGATCCCCCCGAAGGACAGCATGCTTCAAAGACAGAAAGCGACAAATCAACTATTCTCGCTGGGCAGCAACAACCGGTACGGTTATGTACCTTGAGCACAATGCGTAGTACTCCGCTGTCAGTGCTTGCTGTATGAGAAATGGCGATTTTCGGTGCCACCTTTCATTAGTGGCACCTTTCACTGAATGAATGTCAATGTTAACATTTACTAAATGGGGAACAGCTGCGTGCAAATCAAAGCGGGCGATCATAATATGAGAAAATATGAACACCAAAATACGGGATTCGAGAAAAGTTGGATTCATAATTGAAAATTTTTTTTTATTAACATAGTACTTGGGCAAATCTGTTTTGACGCTCAGCTCAACGTATAAATTGTAGAAAATAAATTTTAGAGATATCTATGAACTGAGTATCATAACCCACATATGGCAACCGTATATTCTTTTAACATCAAGTTATTTGTTATTTGTTTTCTTTGCAGGCGACGAATACGAGTCCTGGCGAGGGAGATATTCCTCCAAGCGAAATGTCGCAAGGTGGGGGGGCCCCCGTTATCGGGGGCCTGATTACCGACCACAACACTGTACAGCAGGTGCGTGGACATCTTTTGACAGGTCGTGTGCCAAGATATACTCTGCGTGCAAGTGGCCAGTTTGGTAAAGGATGCGACTCTGTACTTGCGGATATATCCACTGTGCTAGTGATCAATCACCGTGTGAAAGCTGCTCGTTCATTTAGCCAACGTCTCGATATACAAAAAAGAAGCTCACATCAAAAATGCGACTGCGAGACTTCAGCTAAATTATTAATTCTGCCAGCACTCGTCTATCGTATCACTATATAGATGGGTTGCACTTAGTTGACTGAATTGGTTAGAATAAAAAATCATTTGTCACCGAGAAAGTGGAAATGAACGAGATTTACATGCTAGTAACAATGAAAACCGAGAAACACGATTTGACATTTCTACACAGGCTATAACGATTGACACATTTACCTGTGGCTGTTATCAATATGGTAAATGTTCTATCTTTGATGGGCGAGTTGCCTGCTGATGATGTCGATAGCATAATCTTACTTCGCATAAATTTCATGTCAAGTATCGTGAGTTCTACTTCTCGTTCACCTTATATTATCGCCGCATTTAATATTGTCGCCACATGTAGAGTGAAGAAAGTTTTAAAAAAGACTCTTTCTATGCCTTTCTATTTTTGGTTTTGACTTTGTTCTTATGCTTGCGTTGAAATAGACAAAAGAGGGTACGCCAGGCGCAGCTGGCGTTACACCCGATGAGACCCAATCACAACAACAGCTACAGCAGCCTAGTCACACAGGAGTAACGATAGCAGGTGGAGGTGCAGCTGGCGCAACAAAGCCGTCTTCGGCAGCAGCGGTGGGTGCCGGAGGCGGCGGTGGCGGAGGCGGTACAGGTGCAGGTGGCGCAGCTGGTGGGACTGCACCGCAGACAGCAAGTGCTGCCCAAGGAGTCGGACAGACAACAGCTAATGCTTCGAATATTGCTGGAGGAGATGGCACAACAGCGACGGACGGGTAAGTAGTTACTTTTACTATCGTTATTGTTAATGATGATGCCGTTTATGACGTTCAATGGAGAATTAATTCAAGGGTGTTCATTTAAGCGGAGAGGTTCGATCAACGCACGCACTCAAAAGAGTATTGTTATGAGAAACTTAAAAACTTCAAATAAAGTCAGGTAAATATTTGAAGCCCAGATCTACATTTAGTTCCAATATACGTATTGATAGTTAACAAAAATTTATCGTTCAATTTTCGGGTATCTTTGCTAGAGTTCTGTTATCAAACCCTTGATTCTATTTGCACAGTATGTATGAGTGTCGGAGCGTAGATGTAGATAGTATCTATTTCAATGTACTGTTATCTTCTTGACAATGAACAAACAGATGGAAAAATGAGCTAGAGCGCGAATTTGCATGTTGAGGATGACATTGAACTGTGTGGTGTACAAGTCGCTGTTGGGGTATGTATTGATCTTGATATGCCTATATCTAAGATACAAGCATTACACCGTGGTCTAGAACATTACAACAATTAAAAATACCTATGTCAGGCGCGTATCTGCTATACGTACTTCCTTGACCCGGTGCGGTCCTAAAAAATCAAGATGAGTGTTATAATTTATTACCAGCCGAAAATAGAATTTGCCAGTCAAGCTCTTAGAACACTAAGTTTGTCCTACATTGACCAGCAAATGATTACCTTCCTATTGGAGTTACTAATAGGAGTTTACTACAGTTGAGTGATACAGATAGAGAAGTGTTCACTCAAATCAAGTAAACGCCAGATGGAGCTTATACTGTTTTTATTACAGACATGAGTGTAGAGCAATGAACGAACTGGGCTTTCGTACATTTGGAATAGGATTTTGCTAAATAAAGGTTGACTGATGCGATTTTAAGTTAACTCACTTTTTTTAATAATTTGTTTGTGAAAACTTTCAATTAATTACGAGGCGGTATAATTGCCATAATGACCAAGGCCTGTTCAAGGTGAAATGTAAAAATTATAATCAAGAATGTTTAGCTAACAAAATGACTCATTTGCCTATGTATTGAAACAGCGCAATGACATAATTGTGTTGCAGGAAATACTATTTAATTGCGATCCACCTGACTTTTAAGAATGAATTTTTAAGAGTGTTTGCTTAGTGACCTTAGTCTTCGTACTAAGAAAATACGTCGTACATTTTTTTTTTGCTTTTCATTCACGTAAACATGTTGGTCCCTTCTGCGTCGAGCTGAAAGACAGACGCCGCAATATAGAACTAACGTGTATCACTCATGGTGTAAAAAAAAAGTGACAACTGCTTTTTTTTGTAACTCGCCGCACGTCGAAACATAAGCGACATGATAATGAGGGCTTTTATGGAATAAGCCGAGAAGACGTAACGGCGTGATGGCCGGTGCAAACGATTTATTGATATGCATCAAAAATGCTCGATGCTACTTCATCTGAGTGGTTGTCATATAGTTAGTTTCTTCCATTGTTCATCTCCGCTTTAAACTTGATCACGCACAATCGGCTATTCATTTTAATCTGAATATATAAAGGTTCAGTTAGCTGAAAAGTTATATCGCTTAAGGCAATCGCCATCTTAAAATACACATTTTACACGAGTTAAAAATAGCATACCCTCCTATAATATATCAGACAAATTTTTCCATAGTTGATTCACAGCTGTTCCTTCTAAGACGGGCCTCGACACTGTTTTAGCATTGTTTTAAAGACCTGTCAGGGTAGCAGACGGCTCAATACTCTACAGGAGAAGAGATTATGACTATGTCGATCATCGCGTCTGTTATTACAATCGGATCGCTACTACAAAATTAAATTGTATCTACCCATTGACATTTGGACATAAACCGCCGTTACGTCCCGCTGGTTAACAATCAGACACATCGCTGGAACTATCGTATCTTTCCGCTGTACCTCGTTTGACTATACGCTTTCAAATGTTTGATAGTCATGTCACTGATCCTTAAGGTGGTCCCACAATGCGAGTGTATGATAGCGAACGTATGCGAGGACTTTCGTTTTGTTTCGCACAGTTTTCTCCTCACCTACTACGACCCCACGTTGGTTGTTATGAACGCTCGTCGATAATACGGCACGATATTGAGTAACACTGATAAAACTGCCCGCTTGAGAAATCTACTGCGGCGCTGTTTTCTATCTGTCCCTTTACGCCGGTCTACCCTGTACCGGCCATGCCTATCGTTGTTGTTAGCGCTGCTAATTTTCTGGAATGTAGTAACAGTGTTTGCTTCGTTAACGATTCGTCTACAGCTGTACCATGACGTGATCGCTGCTCTTACGACCGCAGAAGTGTTTGCGCATTTACATATTATTTGCGCATGCATTAATTTAAGCGCGCGCTGCCGACCGAAGAATCGGAGAAGCGGTTGTCGTTTGAGAGCTGCTAGTTGTTACTGGTCATGTTGTTACGACTATGAACGAGCAAATGCAGTCTACAATAGATGTGGGGATAGGCGGTTATTCCTGCTGTCGGTTATAGATGGCTCCTGTTTTGGCGCTGCAAATACGCGACGGTCAACATTGAAGTATTCAGCGGCAGCAGCGAGAATTCAAACTGCCGGTTAGACAGTGGTGGACCAAATCTGATTCCGATACATATGTATATATATGTAGTAGGTCAAAAACTAACAGGAACGATAATACGAGACTGTATTGACTCGATACTGATTGAGTCTTTTCACATTGAATAGATCACATCTTTTCTCTAGTAGAACATCGAGCATATTCCATTAATGTGATGGCAAACGTCGCATTCAGATCATACATTTCCGTTATTATCTATTCAGTTGGTTAAACAGATTCGGTCGCCGTTCGCTGATCCAAACTTTGTTTTTCTATCGAATGGCTCTGACTGCGTAAATGCGCCTCACATCTCCATGCTCGTAGATGCGAATATTAAATGACGGGACTTACCTAAAGAACACAAGTATTACAGCCAAGGGAACGTGCGTGTCGCATTATCGCGACTAGTTGTAGCATTATTCATCAACAACGAGTATGCCGAAGCTAATATATCTTTATTTATTTGAGTAATGATGATACTGTTTTTTGAAAAAGCTCAACAGGTGATCGAGTAAAATTACTGTATTACCAAGACCTACCATGAAGTGATGCAGGAAATAGGACATTATTCGTTTTTCCTTGAAGTGGTCTAATAATATAATTGTTTAGTTGTTCTCCCTCACAATCGCATAAAAAAAACCCGTTCGGTGTACTTTAGACCGTACGTAGGATTTATCGCTGCGCAGTTTGCACGGCGACAATTTCAACGAGTGCATGTACGTGCTGTATTTTTTGTCTTTGGTCCATTTATCAGCTGGCTACTGGATCTTGTGTGGTTTGCTTCTCACAAAAACAAGGAACCGGAGGGGAACGAGAGGGAGGGACAGGGAGAGAGAGAGAGAGAGAGCGAGAGAGATAAAAACTGGAAAACCCTTTTTTCTTCGTCTTCGATTAAGTTTGAGTGGATCGCTGTATTAAGCGTTTAAGTGAGTATGTATGGATGCGTAGTCGGAGTGATACATTGATGTACCTAACGGAACGGTGACCTCTACTTATCGCATTTTACCGGTTAACAATAGCATCGATCTTATCCGTTTCCGCCGTACAAAATACACCTTATTAGTGTTGTTGTCCATTAGCCGTCTTGCTTTCAGTTGCCAAAAATCGCCGTTCACGGGGCAAGATCAGAGGGAATAAGAGCGGTTTCACCATTATGGCCATCACCATCAGTAGATGATGGTGATTAGATCGCAATAGATCGTGTAGACTGAGGAAACCTGCAGTAACGAACGGGTGAGCGTTGACGCGCAAACAGCTGTACTCAGCGCTATTAGTTGGAGGCTGGCACATGATTAGGCCAACGAGGTACTGCGCACTTATTCATTGCTGCTCATCAATGGCGGCTATTGCTCCTCCTGCTGTCGCTGCGGTAGCATCACGATACTCTCTCCACGCTCAGTGCCTGGCGCTTGCAGTGTCTCCTGCTAATGGCTGTCACTACCGTTGTCGAGTACTAGTGGAGCGAAGTAATGGAGCGCCGCTGGAGACACGCACGTTATGTGAGCAGTTGCCCGCTGCAAGGCTGCCGTTCGCGACAGCCGCTGTCCGTTGAGGCTGCTTTTGTGATGACTGCTGCTGCTGGTGATGCTGGCGAGAGATCCCCAGCGTCCGCTCTAACAAGCAGATGATGATGGTGGCAACAGTGATGATCATGTGAGTTATCGTGGCAGTGGTATACTGGAGAGGTGTTAGAGCGATGCGCCTGCCGCCGCCGCCGCCGTCGTTGCAGTGGCGCTACCTGCCGCTATCGTCATGCCAGCTGCTGCTTCTGCTGTTGTTGTTGTTGCGTCTGCTACTGCTGCTGCTGCTGCTGCTGCTGTTGTTGTTGCTGTTACTGCTGCTGCTGCTGCCGTTGCCGTCGCCGCCGCCGCCGCCGCCAATCATTTGTTTGAGGCGAGGCCATTCTGCGATAAATAGAAGTAACACTGAAACGTGCGTCGATATCCCTGTTATTAATGATAACAATGTTTCTGCTGTGCAACTGCAACGGGCTACGCCAGTAATAATCCTTAACACGCTCGGTTCACGCACTCACGTACGGATCGCCAACTCTGGCGGTGCTCCAGTGCGGACTTGTCAACGGCGCCAGAGTGTGCGCGGTTGGATGGGGGACCGGTGCCTCCAGCACTTTGCTATGGCCTTGCCAGAAACTGGCAGGACTCAGGCGAAGAAGACAAAATATTCGAACTATTTAAATCGACAGTGTGTATGCTCTAGCAGCTCCTGACAACAGAATACGACTACTTCGACTGCGGGTATGAACGACGGTGGGAATCAAAAAGATGTTGTCTGCACGAAGTTTTAAATCGCCTGAAGGTGGCCGAACAATGGAATACTGAAAGCCGAAAAACAACATCAGATTACTGGGATAGAAGAAAAACATCCGTATAAAGCAATTGTAACTGTTAACCGCG